TTGTTAATAAAACGTAGTAAATAGTATTTTGCTTAATGCTAATTTTATTATAGAATTGTTGACAGTGTTGCTGCATTAAAAATAATTTGATGATCTATTCCGAAACATGCGAGAATTGTGTTACTGTAATGTTTTGTTGCAGAAACTCAAAACATTACAATAAAGGCTTCAACAATCATACTAATAAATTTAATTTTGTTAGATTAACTCAAAAATATCTCTGAAAAGCATATCACTTTTAAAATGAGTTGCTCAGTAATTCTCTGTCTTTCTAAATTCAGTTCAGAATTACACGAGGACATGGATGAATTATACTGTATATAATTTAGGTACAAAGTACTTGAGTACGGTGAAAAGTATTGTATTCGCAAAATTCATTTTAGATCAAAATCTAATTTAATCCTTAAGTTTTTATCTTAATTTTTGCAGTTTTACAGCAATATTTATTTAATTACAGCGAGTAATGATTTTACAGTAAATATTACTGGGAGAATTACTGTCCATCAGAGTTTTTGTTCTGTAAAATTTTACCTTTATTTGATCCGGAATTTTCTGTAATGTAATCTTGTTATTCTAAACCCATTATTTCAGTTATTTGGAAGAATTTTCATGGATGGTAATGAAGTAAGACAAAATCATGAATGTAGGTACTCACTAATAAAAGCAAAAAAAAGTTTCTCTTGTACCTAGTTATAATTAAGATTATTAAATATTGTTAATAATAAACTTCAAACTACAAAAAAAAATTTGTCAAATAAAGGTTTTATCCATTACACTGTCAAAAAAAGAATAAAAAAATGTGTCAAAATAGTAGTCAAATAGTCTCCGAAACTAATAGTAATCAAATTTGAAAACACCGTTGACTGAAAATTGAAAACAACATATACTCATTTTTGAGTAAAATGCATAATCTACAATCTTATGTAGAGGAAGAAATGTGACAAAGAGATGTTCGTTGTCTGCCGGCAGGATTTGACCCAAGAAACTCCGTGTTTTTAGAAGGATGCTCTAACCACCATACATCCAAGTCCAGGGTGAGTTAGGAAGCTTTACATAGTAGCCGCCTCAATGACATATAATAATTTCCAATTTTAAAGGAACAAATTGTTAAAATTCGGGAAATATGGTCCCTATAGCTTAGGTCGGAGATCAGAAATTTTAAATTCACGCTTTGCCTATTTCTCTATATCTAAAAACTTTCAAGTGAAGAGAATGTATATCATGAGTGTCATTGTGAAGGCCACTGTATATAGCTTTCAATATCTCCCTGCGCATGCTTGTATAACTATGATGCTTAAAGCATCACACTACGAGCAAGGAGGTCATTGGTTCAAATCCTGCCAGCTGCCAACGAACATTGCTCTTTCAACATTTCTCTACTTCAGGGACTGCCAAACTTTTTTGATCATCGACCCCTACATAATTTTTCGAAATCTCCATCGACCCCCATAAAAGTAATTTTTTGTTAATTAAAATAAAACTCTATTAGATACTGTGTTTGTACATTTATTTTATGATTTTGAACATTTATTAAAGTAATAGTACATAGTGTAACAATAGTTTTATGAAAAATATATTAATGTTGAAATATAAATACCTTAATATTTATGAAATAATAAGTAATTATAAGTAAGTAGAAATAATAAGTAAAGTAACTACGGATTTATTGCTTCTTAATCAATGACATGGGTGTGCCTGGTGTTTTTTTTTCTGCAAGGTTCGTTATATTGGGTTCAAAATTGGTCAATTTTAATCTTAAATCCCCTCGAAACTCCACATTTAATTTATTTCTGTTCTTAGTTAAGATTGAATTTACGTGACTGAAACCGGCTTCAACCATATAGGAACTTGGAAATGCTATCATAAATGGCTGAGCTATTTCGTAAAGCCTTACATATTTTTGCATTATATTTATATTTGTCCAAAATTTGCTTATTGTTAAATTTTTAAAAAGCGTCTTTGCTTCAAATCCCCATAATAATTTAGCAAGCTCATCTTGTAGGTTGATGTCCACGTTTTCAATTTGAGCAATGTTTCCAAATGTTTTCAACGTTTTCCAAATCAACAAAACGCAGTTCAAAATCGTCGCTCAATTTTTGAAGTTTACTTATATATTTCCAAGTCTTCTTTTTTTATTTCTAATTGTCACATATCTGAAAATACTGATAATCCTTCGACCAATCGACCCTTCCGGTTCGGATCGACCCCCATTCGACCCCCTGGCTCAGATCGACCCCCGCTTTTGTTAAATAGACCCCTGGGGGTCTATATAGACCACTTTGGCGACCTCTGCTCTACTTAAAAGTGAATATATGCTGCTTCAATTTTGAATGCATTTGGTTTCCAAATTCAAATATTATTTGTTTCGGAGCTATTTTTTACAGTGTACAAATTAATCGAGAATGCACTACGTGTAATAAAAGACGTTTAAAACAAGACTGCATTTTACCTTATTCTTATTCGAGTAGTTTTAACATTGTCATCGATTAAATGTAATCAATCAGTCTACATAGTTGTTACGCTTTATTTGCTACTTCAATTACTATTACTTGATTCCATAATTTTGTTTAATTATTTGTAATAATTCAAAACACTTATTTATTTCTCCCATTGTTTTTTTTTCTTAAAAAACAACATCCTAAACAAATTCATCTCAAAAATGAAAGATTAGATATTCCTCTATCTTAAAATTAAGAAACCCTGTAGATGCATAATTAATATCAAACCCAGTAATTAAATCCTAGGAATAATATTCCTCTTTGCTCTCTACCTTACAAAACGAGAAAATAAAGGGATTTTAGGATTTATCATTTAAATATTTCCCATGCATAAACCCAAGTAATTTTTATAATCCCTAAACTCAGCTATAAAATAATCTAGAACAAACTTACACAATGCGTTATGATAAGCTTTTCAGACAATTTAGCTTTATATAAAAATTCCTCGGACCCGGGCAATCTTAATGAGTTTCATGATTATACGCACAAGTGTGCAGAAAATTCTTCTCATTATAACAGCTTATTGATCTTCAACCAGGCTTTTCCAAAATATTTACATACCCTACTGCACGTCGAATAATTAGTTTTCTATCAGGTAGTGGGGGAAGCGTACTAGGACTGTCCCAGCCTCGTGTCGGTTGCAGTTAATGACCGAGCATTTTTCTCCCACGCTGACATTTTCTGTTAGAGAAGGGGTTGTTTAAAGCCATTGAGAAATGAGAAATAAGAGAGAATAATTAGAGAAAGTGGTGTTGAGAAATAAATCATATTCCTTTACGTCCAAGTTTTTTTTTCCAGTAATTAAATGGTATCTATAAATTTTCAGATGCACTTCCACTCATAAAAATTCCGGTGTATCTCATCATATTTAAGGGAATAAACGAATTCATTCCATTTTTAAAACTTAAAAAAAGCATATTTTGACAGTTGTACTGAATTTATTTTTAATGACTTTCATTATTGTTTATAAATTTATTAAGATATAAAGCATTTCCGTTTTCCTTTTCATGTTATATGGTTCAATTTTACAAGAAAACAAAACTGCTAAGATAAAGTTTCATAACCTGGTATTTTCGTGACCTAATTAGTTATTTAAACTATATTTTTTTAAGAAAATAACGAACCAACAAATGCTACAAAGTGGGCAAAGAACAATCATAAGCTTATTTTTAACAAGAAATGAGACAAACAAACAAGAACTGTTATATTCGCCATCATGGAGACTTAAACTGTATAATTAATTTAGGACTTGTAAAAAGAATCGACACAAAACGTACTACGTAAAAGACAAAAAAAAATCATCTATGGATTTTTAACTAGACAAGAGACAGAGACAAGCCAACAAGAATTATTTAGTCACCCAGAATTAGATAGTCTACTATGGGGACTTTAACTATATAATTAAATTAGGATTTACTCAAGAAGGAACGAAAGACATTGCATTACATAATTGACAAAAAACAATCATGTATGTTCTTCTTTACAGGAAATTAAACAAACAGACGCGTAATCTTTAGTTGCTCGGAATTACAAGATTCACTACGGAAATTTTAACTACATAAATTATAGGGTTAACGCAGAAAAAAAAGACAGAATTCCTTATAGAATCAATAGCAAGCATATACATATGTTATTTTACAAGAAATGAAACAAACAGACACGAAATATTTTGTCAACCGGAACAACTTAGTCCACCTCACTATGGAGACTTCAACAAAATATTTAAGCTACGATTTAGGAAGAACAAGACAGAATGTATGAAAGAATAGACAAAAAAATACACAATCATATCCATGTTTTATTTTACAAGAAATGAAACAAATATACAAGAAAAGTTTTGCTCCATTTAAATTCAAAAAATGTTTATAATTGTATAAAAGCTATTTAAACTAAGGTTTTACAAAAAAATAAGATAACAAATGCAAACGATATACAAAAATTTGCAATTGCTTCATTTATTTACTATTCGATTTAATAGGAGAAATGCAACTGATATTAAAACTAGTTTTCAATACTTTTTGTAGACATTAAAGATGCTTTTGAATTGTGGGAATATGCTTTCGTTAGGTCCTTTTTTTTAATTGTTGGACATATTACTGAAACAATAAAATATCCAATCAATATTCTTTGAAATTTACTAATATCTTAAAGGCTGTTTTAAATAAAAATATAAAGACATTATTTTAAGATAAATTGTTAGAGGAAATTTTGATCTAATATGTTACCTAAATTAACGTTTTTTGATGTTGTACGTTAATCATATTTTTCACTTCAATTTCAAATTTATCCAGTTAATGGTTTTTTGAGGTGTTACGAATGATTACGGATTCAAAATTCTTTTAGATCTTTTACATTATTGTATAAAAGTTTATTCGTTATTATGGAAACATTAATGTTTAGTCCCTTTATCAAATCAATAGGTCATATTCTCTTTTTTTATATTAAATTAGTCTACATTTTATCCAGGAATTGTTTATTAATTCTAATTATTTTTTATTATAGTTTTGTTGTCTGCAAGCTGCTTTTTTGAAGCTGTGCTGTGCAGTCCTAGTATAGAGGTAAGTTGTTTCAAACTATAGGGAGATAGAAAAGAATTAAGTGGATGCCAAATTATATATGACTTGAATACAAATATGGATATACTTATTGTAATTAATTCACGTCTTTTTGTCTTTAATAACCTTACCAATAAAATTACTTTAGTATTTCAATCTTTAAAAATGCTACAAATACAGATTGTTTTATTATCTAAAATTATTGAATATCATTAACTTGAAGCAATTTTTACATGTGCAACATATTTTTACTGCAACCAAAGACTTTTTTATACTTTTAAACTTTTCTAAAATATTTACTTAATAATATTAAAAACTTATATTTTAAATTTTTTTTATACTTAATTAAATAAATTTTTTGATTTGAAGCATATTTTTAATTATTTACTATTTAAACATATTTTCAAAAATTTATGAAATTATCTGATGCCCAAAAGTTAAGCCAGAATGTTAATTAGTGAAATTTTTGACTGTGAAATTTTAGTAACGATAAAAAGACAATTAAGAAAGATGATAATGTTGCTGAGTTGACAAAAGCGGAGTCAAACAGGAGGAGTTTTATTATTGAGCAATATTTTGAGCATTTTGGCATGAGTTGGACTGAGTCTGAGGTTTATGCCAATAAGCCTATAGAAATTAAATCATGAAATAAAGTGTTGCATCAACAAAACAAGAATCATTATTATTCAAAACGGTCATTAAAAATTTCGTCAAAATCTTGCATTTGTGATTAAAACTTTTTACCATAATTCCTATCAAAATTGCTTTTTTAGTGAGTTTTGTGATACAATGATGAATAAGCTAATACACGAAGAAACAATTAAAGAAAAATTTCCGCACTGTATGGTAATGATATCTCCGTTAAAATAAGCAACACAATTCCACTTTACAAAGCCAAAATATACGGTATTTAAGCCATTCATTGGTAATTTTAGAGCAATGCGGTAACAATTAACCAGAAATTCTGATTTTCAAATTTGCACACATTAGTAAAAAAAAATAAAGTAACTGAAAGGCAAATTTTATGAAATAAATTGCTTTTATGTTATTCTGAAAGGTATCATCATATAATGACCAAATTTCAGCGCATATTTTGAAGCCTTATTTTATTGTTAATTTTTCTAAAATCATTACCAATGGAGGGTTTCGGAAAAATTACTGAGCTTTTTGGTGCTTCCATGGAGAAAAAAACACAGTAAATTTAACCTAATTCTGGTAGCTTAGACCATAAATTTTTCCAAATGTACAAAGTATTGAAATAATTTCAAAGAAATAAGTAAATTACTGTTTGATTTTGCTATTCTAATTTCTGAAGTATTCATATTTTATTTTCAATAACTCAAGATCATAGAAAATCAAATGGAATAAAGTAGATTATATTTTCAGAATGGAAAAAACAGGCCAGATGCAGTTTTGTTTCAAAATACGAGTTATTTCACTGACGATAACCTCTGTTTGGAGTTACCAGATGGAGTTTATCCGGATTACAACCAAGCATGTCGGATGTTCTTTATTTGCTCCGGGGGCTTAAAAGCTGCTACATTTTGGTGTACTAAAGGCTTTGTTTTCAGTTATACCTCGGGGCACTGTGAACCTCCTGATAGAGCTCGATGTCCAGATTCGAATAATCCTGCTGTTCTAAATCGAGTGTTTCAACTGCACATGAATGGTAAATCTGCAGATTGCCAGCAGGGTGATGGTGTTTATCCAGAATTTTCCAGTGGGTGCTCTTCATTTTTTTACTGTAAAGGTTAGTATTGATAAAAAATAATTTTTATTTTAGTGACGCTAATATTAATTTTTATTTTAGAGTTTTGCATTTTTATTCCTTTTAAGTATGGTACATGGTAAAGGTATATGGTATGTTATATGACATATCTTATGTTATATGGTATGGTATATGCTGTATATATTTTTGATATATTATATGGTATATGTATATACACTCTATAACAAAAAAATGGACGCACCAAGAGGCAATCATCCGATTGCTTTGAAATTTCGTATGCATGAATGTTTCGGCTCGATGCCGACTGGGGACGTATAGTCTTTAGCGACGAATCCAGCTTCCAACTGTGTCCTGACGATCATCGAAGACGTGTTTGCAGAGGGGGGATCGTGCTTTCACTATTGCACTCAACACCGGCCCTCAACAAGGCATTCTGGTCTGGGGTGCCATTTCCTTTGACAACCGGTCGTTTGACCCTTTGGTCGTCATTAGAGGTACACTTACTGCACAGCGGTATGTCGACGACATCCTAGGACCTGTTTTGCTACCGTTCCCTTTGCCGCGCCCTGGGCTGGTTTTTCAGCAGGACAATGCCAGACGCCATGCTGCACGTGTTGCTATGAACTGTCTGAAACTTGTCAAACTCTTCCTTGGCCTGCCAGATCACCAGATCTCTCTCCCATCGAGCATGTCTGGGATATGATGGGAGGGCGATTGCATCTGGCACGGAATGTTGATGACCTCGTTCGACAATTGGATCGAATTTGGCAGGAAATACCGCAAGAGACCATCCGGGAGCTTTATCGGTCTATGCCACGCCGTGTGGCAGCTTGTATCCAGGCTAGAGGCGGGTCAACACCTTATTGAACTTGTTACTGTAACTCTGCAATAAATTATTCAATTGTTCTGAAATTTTAATCATTTACTATTCTGTACATTGTCTTCCTATCCACCAATTTTCGTTTCAATCGGACAACTCCTTCTTGGTGCGTTGATTTTTTTGTTATGGAGTGTATTTTTGATATATTACATGGTATTTATAGATGGTAAAATGTTATTAATTTTTAGTATTTTTGGTATATTCAAAGTATCATGTAGTACATACATTATTAATATTTTTACGAAAATGTGCAGTTTAAAATGTAAACCCAGCACCGAAATTGTTATTTTTTTTATAAATTTTAACTTATATATAAATCCCACTTTTCTTTTATCTTTTAAATTCGTTAAATTATTTTTTTTTGTATAGGTATATATATATTACATGGTTTAGCTATTGATATATTTATTACAAATACACGTTTTCATAATAATTTGCTTTAAGATAAAAGGATATTTTCTTAAAACCACCCATCACCACTGCAATTTATATTGCAGTCACATGTTTTATGAGTAAAAACAATTTACTAAATTGTATAACTTTATAACTTATTCCGTTGAAATACATAACTAAATCAAATAGTCATGAACTTTGAGATCTACGATTGCAATAACTATCCCTTGTATCAAAAGACATAAAATGAATAAAATAATATATTCCATTTACCTTATGCTTTCTATAACTTCCTCATGGCTTAAATCCCTTGAAATTGTATAACTTCAATTCGTATATTCTTGAAGACAGCCAATTTCTCTTACCGGACAGAAAGATAACATTGGTTCTGGCATAAAACCCAATGCACCGATATTTAAAGGGTCATTTAAAATGGTATGGGCATGTGGTGGGCAAAGACAAAAGGATGCTTTTGGGGGTTAAGCCGCAATGCATTGCTGGAAGATCTTTACGAGGCTATAAATTCTTTTAAGGGCAGTTGGAAGAAGAAAACGTGACTAGAAATTTGGTGGAGGTAGAGAATAGTGTACGGTTTTCAAACGAAGGAAAAGGAAAAGTGAATGAATAAATCGTTATAGCGTACTGGCAAATGTCTGCAGAATCGAATAAAAGGGGTTTGGTTTGCTTTCATCAGATCGTGGAAAATCGTATGAAGTGAAAATTAGTTTAGTAAATTGGAAGAATATCTTTTTTTATTGTTCCTTTTTTAGGAAGTGGAGTTTAGCTACGTAAGTTTAGCTACGTTGTTTAATACTTAATTAAAAACCTTTATTAGGAAATAGCACATACTTAATGATATCTTCTTATCATTAATAAGAAAAACAATAAACTCGAAAATATAAATTAAAATACAAACACGAGGAGTATTATTTCTGTGATGTTTAAAGCGGAAAATTTGCAGTAAATTTTAATTCATATCTTTAATTTAAATTTATATTTTGAAAGATTGTAATCCTTTCCATAGAAGTATTAGGAGTCTATTAAGTTTTGATTTACTTTTTTTAAAATTGCATTTTAGAAAAGCCTTAAATAATAAATTTGAAATTATAAACAATTAATTGTAAAAGAAAATCTGAAAGGTAACGACAAAATTTTAAAAATGTAGTATGTACGACCAAAAAATATGTGAAAAGAAGAAAATGTTAAGAACGACTTAAATTATAGCCTATATTCTATATAAAAAATATCTATAACTGCAAAATGAATGCCAGACTGTCTGTTTTTCTTATAATTCAAAGGTTTGTTCAAGCATTCCGAAATTCGGGCAGCATCTGCAAAGCTCAAAATTTGTTCTCGATCTTAAAATTCGCTCAAAATTTTTAATTAGTTTCTTCGATATAGCTACATGAAAAATGATTTTTTTTCCATTAGCTTAGAATACACCAATGAAAAAAATAAGACCTGCAAATTATTTTCTTTCTTTCAAGCATTTTAAAGATAACATTAGTCATAATTGGTATCTAATAAAATCGAGTTTTTTTTAAACGTTATTTAATTTAAAATTATTTTTCATTAGTTATGTCTGAGAAATTTAATGATCAGCAAGAACCTGATAGCATCGATGAATTACGTCACCAAATTAGTATTTCTAAAGCTGTTTGAAACCACGAGTTTTTCTTTTTATGCTCTAAAAAGTGACTCAATAAAACCGCAGAATTTGAAATCAACGGTATTTGAAATAAGAAAAAAAAGTTTTTTTGAAAAGAAAAATTAATTCGGTAAATAATTTGCAGAAATAATTTAAATTTGCTTAGAATAAAAGTGGAATTCTCCTTAGTCTTATTGACGCCAATGAGGTTTGATTGAATTTTCGATTAGGCAAAATTTTATTTAAGAAACTAGCCATGTTATAGAAAAGCAAAATTAGTGGAATTTGCTAAGGTACTTATTTCTCAGGGGGACAGTAAAAATTCGCTTAACTATTATTGACGCCAAAATAGGCTTAATTAATTTTGGTAATATGTACTAATTGAAATAAATAAAAAAAGCTATGCATTAAGCGCATTTAATGGAGAAATAGAATTAATTAATTTGTGAGAAACGTAAAAAAAATCAAATATTTGGAGACTCCAATTATGCCTAAATAATGTTGATTATAAGTAGTAATTTAATTGAGAATATATACTATGCACTATAAAGCAAAATTAGAGAAATAATATTGAATCAATTAAGAAAAACTTAAAAAAGAGCTGGATTATTATTGATACAATTGATGCTTAATTAATTTTGATAATGATAACAAATTAAAAATATTTAAAAAATATTTTATACTAGGAACAATTATAATGCAGAAATGGTTCTAATCCGTTTAAGAGAAGAGTAAGAAAATCACCGACCTGTTATTATTAACAATTACGATAAATGAAGTACTAACTAAATCAAAAAAATAAACTATATACACGAGGTGCAATTAAGCAAAATTAATGCAGAAATGGCACTAATTCACTTAGAAGAAATGTAAAAATTCGCCATATTATTATGACGTCAATGATGCTTAATTAATTTTGCAATCGATACAACTGGTATTATAATAATTGGACAGTTCTAATAGGTACCAGATGTACAAATAAAGGTACAATGTATTATATTAATATATTTGATACCTAATTAAACAGAACCAATACCTTAATGCAGATACTGTGAAAAGAGGTTTTTGCGGTAACACTAAAATTTGGGAAAGATTACAAAATAGCGTGATTATGGTAAATTCTGACCATCATGAGTTGGCTTCGAGCAGCAATACCAAGCTAAATGCTTCTGAATATATTTTGATGAGATGAAATGCTAAAAATATGTTTTGCTTAATCTCATAACGCAAAGCAACAGATAAGAAAAACTAATAATAAAAAAAAGCATTTTAGATTTAAAGATTTTGTAGGTAAATTACTTTTAGCTAAGGAAAGGATTTCGTAGTGTTACTCAGTATTGGTTTTTATTTGTTTATTTATTTTCACCCTGTACAAAGAACAGATATTTGGGTAGTATATTATATAAGAAATATATTTCATGTAAAAAAAATATTTTTCTTATAAGAGGATTGAAATTTTAATTTGAACTCAGTGAAAATTAACGCAGATTGCAATTTTTCTATAAAATATGAAAAAATAGAAATCTGTAATAATTATTAAATAGTTTTACCGTACAACATTTTATATAATCATTAACATGGCAGAGATGGAATAGAGTCCTATAAACAAAAATTAGCCTATAAATTTAAAAGACTTTGCTAAGCAAAATCAATATCTTATTTCGGGAAACGGGTTAGTTAGTGAAAGTTTCACATGATTACTAAGAGCGTAAAGCATAAAAGTAAAATTCGCTTTTATAAAATTTCTCTTCTTATAATATTCTACGCAATGAATTTTTTTTCAAAAAAAAACTAACATAAATAATTTGCATTATAAGCTTATAATCATTTTTGCAGAATCATTTCCAAAAGTAAAAAAAAATCATCATATTTAAAAATAAAATTTTTAATATTTAAAAAATATTTTATGTAGGATCTTTTTATATAAAATCTTCTAAATTATTTTATTATTAGCTGCATATTATTCTTTATTTCAAACGTGTTATTTTCTTTTTCACATTAGAGAAAAAAATACGTTTCAAATATCTTTTTTCTCAAAAATGTAATTTTTTTTTTTGTTTTCTAAAAAAATACGGATGTAAAAAAACGGATTTTGAAAAC